GTGCTCGGCCGTCGGCCCATGCGCAGTTCCATCGTAACTTGTGGCAGCAGCGTCTGGCGGACATCAGTAAAGTCGATCAGCAGAGGCTTTTGGGCATGGCCCTACAGGCGTCTGACGAGTCCTCCCGCGCCCACAGGCACGATCTTGAAAGGAACTGCGTGTTTGGGCTGACTGGCTCTCGGACCCCGTGAAGGCCCCTGCGGGTGAGTTGCACCGTCTCACAGAGCTCCCTCCCCGATTTGAAGACGAGTTTGTGCTAGGCAAGTGCAAGGCCACGTCGCCCCTTGACATTGCAGACGCCCAAACTAAGGTGTTTGAAAATATTTGGGCTGCGGACGCAGTTAGCAGAACTGACGCCGCAGCCGCTTTGGCTCGAATTCGCGACCAGGCGCGGGCGGAGCCCTGCCCCACCTGGTCCTTGCAGCACTTTGACCAGGCCCTCCGCCTTCAGCCCGATAGGGGCCGCGAGGTGTCGATCGGCTAGTGGCCTCCGACGTGCGCCGCCTGCCAATGCCTGCTCGTCAGGCGCTCGTGGATCTGATAAATTCGGTGGAGGCCCTGCAGATCTGGCCGTACCAGCTGCCCCAGGCCATCATCATGCTCGAGCCCAAGAAGTCAGGCGACAGGGCCCTGGCCCTCATCGCTTGGCTCATTCGCTGCCGGCAAATGCTCACGAGGCCGCAGGTGGAGGAATGGGTCGCATCGGCCTCGAGACATTGGGACTCGGCCCTGAAGGGGCCCTCGTGCTTGAGAGAGGCCTTGGCGGACGAGGCAGCGCATGCCTTGGCCATGTCGTCGGCAGTCAGTCTTGCCGACGTAGCCAGAGTCTGTTGCTGCAGCGTGCCTGGACATCAACTTCCCCAAGAGGATCATGGCGCTCGAGCTGCAGATTCATTGTGTATCACCCATTTGAGACAGCAAGGAGCCTGCGGGCTCGCATGCCAGGCGGACCTGCCCCTCCCGGCGGGCTCGCGCCACGCCAACAACCTGGCGCGGGCAGTGGTGTACAAGGTGCTAGAGTCCGTCACGGCTGCTCAGCCCAGGGCAATGCCTCGGGCCTGGTTCGACGACATCAGCACCTCCGCCTACAGCAGCCCCGCGACGGTCGAGGACGTCATCTACACGACGACGAAGAAGCTAGCCCACAGCCTGAAGCGAGAAGGCCTGGAGCTCGCAGACAAGAGTGTTATTTTCAGTTCTGATTGGAAGATGACCAAACGAATCACATCACGTTTGAAGAAAGCGGGAGTGGATATTACGCCAGCTGGAGAAGCTCGTGATCTTGGCATCGACAGATCTTCAAAAGGTGTTACCCGTCGGGCTACACACACGGCAAGACGAAAGAAAACATCCAGTCGCATGATCACTTTTGGCCGAAAGCTGCGTAAGTTGGGAAGGGAAAAGAGTTTTCACATGCTCAACCAAGGTGCAATGCCAGCGTTACTTTATGGAGCGAAGGCGCATGGAGAGCCGCCTTCAGCTATCACACAAGCCAGAAGGAGATACATGTCGGGCATCGCCAGGGCCAGACCAGGACGTTGCACTACGTCATTCCTCAGCCTGGTCGGCAAGAACCCTGCCCTGGATATACCTCGAGCTCAACTCCGCGCATGGTTCGACCTATATGCGCACAGGTCTGACTTGAGGAAGCTGATTGCCATGCCCTGGGGTAGGATATATGCCAGACTCAAGATCGCCCCCAAGCAGCATCGATGGCGACAGCGACGGGGAGGTATGGGTTCAGTCACCTGACATTGTGGGCGGCTGGCTGGGGCCCCAAGTCGGCTACGCGATGGGCAGATCCGCGAGGCGATGACTGGGAAATGGCAGAAGATGCAGCTGGGAAGGAACCCTCAACCACCATCGACGCCACCATCGATGATATTGAGAGGGGCCTGTGGCAGAAGGCGGCCGCCCACTTCAACGGCAAGGGCATGGAAAGCGGGGTCGACGCCAGCGACGCGGTCCGCCACCTGGCCCGTCTGCGGAAGCAGGGCAGGCTGCCAGAGGTCAATGCCCTGCTCACCGCCATGACGGCGGGCACCTGGGCGCCAGCACGCAAGTTCGACCTCTACGGCGACCTCGCGGGCACAGGCAATTGCAGCTGCGGCGCCAAGGCAGACGACCTCCATCGGATATGGAGACAGTGCCCTGACAGAGTGAATCGCCCAGCCTTCACCAAGTCGGAGCACCTGGTGCCCATGGCGGTGGCGGGGGTCGCCCACGCCCCGTGCTTTTGGTTACGTGGGCTTCCGCCGACCTCGTGGACAACGCCGCCGCCGTGCGAAACGCCGCGCGCGGAGGAGAGGTTCGGGGAGTTGGACAGGGCCCCGATTGAGGCCCCGCTCGGGCAGCCCCTCATCACCTGCGGGGGCGGCAGCGGAGGCGACGAGTCTGACGACTCCCGCTACCGCAGATGCGGATGGGGATGGGTCGCACTCGACGTGGCCGACCCTGGCCTGCCGAAAGTGAGGGGAGGAGCGTTCGCCCCGCTCGCAGGCCACCGCCAAACAAATAGTCGTGCAGAATTCTGGGCATTTATCTCGGCAGTGTTGACTACCCGTGGCAGATTGCAATATTGGACAGATTCTGAAGTCTTATACAAGGGTTGGATGAAAAGGTAGACGCGCACGCCCAGCCAGTTGGAGCACGATGGGAGATTTGTGGACTGAGATAGGAGCAGCATTGACAGATAGAGGTGACAAAAGTGTAGAGGTCGTTTGGATTAACAGCCGCCTCAGCCTCGAGGAAAGCATGCGTAAAGGAGTGCCGGTCTATGCTTGGTGCGGTAACGAGGCTGCGGATGAGCTTGCTGATAAAGGAACCCAGCAACATCATATCCCACCTGCTCGCCTCTCCTGCTATAAGTGGGCTGTCGCCGTCTCCGCTGTAGTCCGTGATCGGATAATTCGTGCTACTTTAAACGCGTTTGAGCATGAAAACAGAGAGCCCTCGGCCAAGATTGTTTGGAGGATCGAGAAACGTTCTCGGCGTGACGCTCTCAGGGCCGCCCAGCTTAAGTCGTCTCACACCCTCTGTACATGCAGGCGCGTTGGAGTTGTCTTGGTTGTCGTAGCTCGGTCAGTACATTAGTATGTAAGCAAGCCATGAGCGAATGGATTTCCCGAGAGCGCCCAAGCCCGCCATCCAATCAGCCGCGCCACACCCAGCTTGCCCTGGGGACCAGGAGCGGCCATGCATCCCATGAGCTCGCCTTCTACGAGCCGCACTGGATCTGCATCAGGTGTGGTTGTCGGGCTTTGGAGGGGAGGGGACACCTCAGGGGCCTCTCGGAAGTTTGCTCACCTCCTGGGATTGGGTTATGTCTCGCGTGTTTCAAGGGAGGCCACTCAAATGAAGTCCTCCTGGGAACCCTATCCGTCCAGACACCGTCTGATTGGGAAAGTCCTGTGGAAAGTCCCCCGCGTCCTCGTCATCCTCCTCGTCCTCACTCTCCTCGTCCTCGTCCTCTTTTCCTGCTCGCCCCTGCTCTCCATTTCGTCAGCCTTTCCCTGATCGTCCTCCTCCTCATCGTCCTCCTCGTTTTCGTCCTCCGTCGCATGCTCCTCCTCCTCGTCCTCTCCTCCTCCTCCCCCTCTCCCTCCTCCTCATCCTCCTCATCCCTCTCAACCTCCCCCTCCTTTTCTCAACCTACCCCTCCTCCTCTTCGTTATCGTCCTCCCCCACGTCGTCGTCCTCACCCTCCTCGTCCTCGTCCTCCCCATTTCATCCTCATTTCCCTGCTTGTCCTGCTCCTCGCCCTCCTCCTTTTCGTCCTCCTTCCCTTGCTCGTCCTCCTCCTCGTCCTCCTCCTCTCCCTGCCCTGATCATCGTCCTCCGCCTCCGTGCCCCTGCTCATCCTCCTCGTCCTGAGCCAGATATTCATACTTAAGATGGCTCCATGGGTCCTCGTCCCCGTTGTCATCCTCCGCCTACTCCTCCTGCTCGTCCTTGCCCTCATCGTCTTCCTCTTTCTGTTTATCCTCCTCGTACTCGTCCTCGTCGTCGTCGTCGTCGCGCCAGGGACGGCCGGAAGAGGCCCACCAAGGCCACCCTGTTGCTCGAAGAGAGCCCTCTGTTCACCATGGTTCCCCGCTTTGTTTCAGTATATGTCTCTTCGTCCCTTTTCCCGTCAGCTCTCATGGGCGGGGGGTTCTGAATGGGCTGCTGGGGACGCGAAGCGTGAAGAATTTGTTGTTTTTGGGATCGGGGGAGGGGGGCTTGATCGGGGTCCTCTGTGACAAAATATGATCGGGGTATTGAAATGGTCCGGCTCTTGTGCGGCCCCCGTCGCTTTTCATGGCTCCGCGTGGCTTCCCCCAAAAAGATGGGCTTACGTGATTGGGCCGCCACAGGAGGAGGTGCGTGGCTCGGGCCCACCAGCTTGTGGTGGCCGGGGCGCAACAGCATACACTTTTCCTGCGATTTTTCTCTGGGCAACGGTGTCGCGTTAGGAGAGATACCCCCGAGCCTGTAGAGAAACAAAGAGGAGCAAGATGAGCAGTGCAGGGGATCGTCCTCCAGATTCTTGAAGACGGCCACCACTTTCGAGGCACGATTCAAATACGTTGTCGCCTCTGTGACCTCGCCCGCCTTGCACAGGTCACAGGATTGATGAGGTTTGGAATTAGTGGGATGTAGCGACGGCGATGCCTGCTTCCAGGGGGCAGCACTTCTGCAACTGCAGTCTCTGGAGAAGCTGATCTGCGCAGGTGAAGGTACGCTGGAACACAGGACCCGAGAATGAGACTTCGACTGAACATAGACGCAAGCCGCAACAGATGCCCATAAAACAATGAAAACCAGTGCTTGCGAGACTCGGCTTGCTGGAAAGGACGGGCCAACGCGGACGGGGGAGGCAAGGGCAGCCCCACTCCAAGCCCATGTCCGGTCCAAAGCCAGCTCCGACGACAACGATGGCGGTGACGATGACGTGATGACGAAGGCTCGCCGTCGTCTCCGCAACGTACTGTCACACTCGTCACGCGAACTAATGGCGCCTCCATCAGCGCGAACGCTTTGCGAGTGAGCCTGTCTACGACGTCAGCCCGCTCAACCTGGGGGTCCGCTCTCGTCCTCTCCCCTCCTGCTCATCTGCCACTCTCCTCAACCCCTGCTCCATTCTCCATCCCCATCCCCATCGCCTTCTCCCAAGCCGAATGAAGAAGCGCGGGATCCCTCCAAACACCTCGTGGAATCCTCCCAAACAACTCCCACTCCTCCCGTAGGAAAAGGAGGAGGAGGAAGAGGCCTCATAATACCCATGGAAACCCTCAGAGCCACCAGAGCAGACTAGCACCTCTTACGAAAGCCCTCCTTCAAATCCCGTGTATTTCTCGATCCTCCTCCTCGTCCTCTTCCGTCCTCATTACTTGTTCCACCTCCTCCTCTGCCTCCTCCTGCACAGCTAGTATGTTTCACGGGCCCGTCTTCTGAAGGGAGAAGTTCGCTCCGAGGCGCCGCTTCCAACCTGGCGCAGGGAAACACATCACGCGGTGGGAGGCAGTGACAGAACCACCAGCGGCGCTGCGCTCAGAAGCGGTCGCGCATCTCCTGAACCGCCCGCGCCACGGCACGAGCACGCCAAAAGCGAACAGTCCGCAATCCTGGCCGAAAGCGCATCCAGCTTCCAGTTGCTCCTCGCTGCTCGCTCCCCCTCTCGAGCGAGAGAAGAAGACAGTCGGAGGTAAGGCCGCCAGGAGGAGGACAGGAAGTGAGTGAGGGAGGAAAGATAATGAAAGAGATGCGACCCCCACACGCCCCCAGCCCCCCAGGACTGCACTGGAGCCACTCTCCTTTGTGGGCTTGGACTTGGCCTCGGCGTGGACTTTGCTTGGCCTGGGCTGTACGAGGGTCTGGGTTGGCTTGGGCTTGGCTTGGCCTTGGATCTGGGTTGGCCTGGGTTTGGACTTGGCTTGGCCTGGGCTTGGCTTGGCCTTGGCTGGCCCAGACATGGGTCTGGGCTTGGCCTGGGCTTGGAATTGGCTTGGGCCTGGACTGGACAGGTCGGCAGCGCTGCTGACCGCACGCACCACACGTGCCCACAAACTCTCGCATAGACCCGGCCATTATGCCAGCCCGGCCACCCCAGACCCACATGGATCGTTCCGGGAGCTGCCAGGAGAGACACCCCAGGGCCCAGACATCTCCAAACTCCAAACTCCAACTTCTTCAACTCCTACGCCTGTTCCTTTTGCTCCCCTGCGCCTCCTCCCACGGCGCCTCAGTCATGGCGAGCAGATCCGGGAATTCTTTCTTTGCCTGGGTGTGGGGGGGGACTGCACTGGACGAAACAAAAGAGTGTGAATCCCAACCATGTGAACTCCTCCCCACGCTCAATGAATCGGCGTCTTCCTCGCACTTCTCCCACCCTCACACTCCGCATACGTTTGCCCCTCCTTCTCCATTCCTTTTCCTTCTAGATTCGCCGGCCCAGAGAGCCAGAGGCGTGCTAAGATCTCTGGCAACTGCTTTACCACATTTCTACCTCGCGCGCGAGGCGCGGCCCCTGGGGGTCCACGGACGAAAAGTGCCCCTGCAGGGTCGGATCAGGGATTGCGTTCCTGCTGGGCGCCGCCCTTCAGGCCCTCCAGAACGCTCCAAGAGGGCCCCGAAAGGCCCCCCGTAGAAGTGAGAATGATTAGCAGACTGATGGCCTGCGCGTGCTGTACGAGAAATCACCATGATGATCGGAGTGAATGCTCAATTTCCTGATGGACCAGGCTGGTGCGACAGTCTTTACGCGCCCGCTGCTGCTAGCGACACCGCCCCTGCATTGGGATCCATCGCTCTGAAACAAGTGTCGTACGGACAAACATGAACGACTGGCATGGATAACATTTGAAACCTCGTGCGACTGCCAGCACAACAATCACAATCCCAAGGGTGGTGGGGAATACATGTCAGGAGGCCCCTTTCAGCCTCAAAGCCACAACCCATAGGAATAAAATGCTGAATCTCTTATCTCACAAGTAATTTGGGGAAGACGCGATAGTACGGATCGGCGGACTGACGGCCACGACACGCGCCCTGTGCGCAACAGTGTCTGGCAGTGAAGGGTGGCCAGATCAGAATGACAATCAAGGCCCACAAGACGGTCCAAGAGGGCTCCCAAACGCCGAGCGATCGGCCCAAGACGCCAAATGTGGCCTTCCGATGGCCCAAGACGCCTTTCAAACGCCCCCAGAGGCCACCAAGAGCCCTCCCAAGAGGGCCCCTAGAGGCAACAAGTAATGAGATCCCATTGGTTTCTCAAGGATTTAGGCGTTCGCGCCTCTTCATCTCACCCGCACTCCAAGGCGGCCCAAGAGGCCCCAAAGATCGCCCCGCTACGGCCCCAGACGCCTCCAAGAGGGCCCCACAACGGCCCCGGAGGGCCCGAAGACAGCCCAAGAGCTCTCCAAGACGGCCCAAGAGGCCCCCAAGAGAGCTCCACGAGCGGGCCCTTGGGAGGCACCCGAACGGACACTTCAGCCCTCGGCCCCGAGAGGCCCCCAGAAGCTCCCACGAGGGCCCCAATGTGGCCTAAGAGGGCCCCAGTGCGGCCCAAGAGGCCCCAGGGTGGCTCCAGAGGCCCCCACGAAGGCTTCCAGAGTAAGCCCCCAAGGGACCCCAAGAGGCCCCCAAGACGCCCCCGAGAGGTGCTAAGAGACCCCCACGGCTGGGCCGACGGAGTGAGCGAAGCGATTGAACAATATAGGCTGCTCCGTGAAACCCCAGCCTGTTCAGGCGTGGTGCCGCAAAGCGCTGTGGGTATTGTTCCTCTGTATCGACTGCTCTCCGTCGAATACTCCCCAAGGGAGACACTTACGCAAAGAGTTCTGTTGCGGCGACTTGGGGAGTGGCGACATGTGAATACAGATAAGCATATGTAAAGACAAGTGGATGCTATCAAAGACAACCAACCTTCCTACCCAGGGCACCCGTGCGAAAAGATGAGAAGGAGATCCAGCGGCGGCCTCGTCCAGATCGGCCCGGTTCGCAGCGTTCTGGCGCACCTTGTCCTCCGCATTCGAGGCCTCGGCCTGGAAGGGGGGGGAAGACGATTGTGAGTGGCAGAGGTGCAGGAAGAGGAAGCGGAAGACAGAAAGATCGAGACACTGACAGGAGCCCATGTTCGCCGTCGGGACAAAAGGCACCCTAAGGCGCGCCAGAACATGTGTTGACTGCCTGGCAAGGCTTGGCTGGCGACCCCCGCTCCAGGCGCGCGACTCCGCCGGAGATCGCCCCCGTGGTGCTCTCTTCTCGGCCGAGGGCCGCCCCGGCACGGCCCAAGGCCACCTCCAGGCTGCAAAACGCCACCGGTCCAAGGCAGCTTAAAAACTATCTGGAGGCTCAAGGTGTCCCCATGGGGGCCCCGAGGTGCCCAAAGGAGCCCACCATAGGATTAGAACAGGCCTTCAGGGAGTCCTCCACCAGCGCTCTGGGACACTAGAAAAAAAAGCCCCGCCCCCAGGACTCGCACGTGCGTTGCTTTCCGCGCTCTTCTGTTATACTTGTATGTGAGGTATTCGGAAGAAAAGGGCCCGCGAGACAGCCCAAAATTGACCAAAGATGGCCGCAGGACAGACCCATCCAGACGGCCCAATCCCTCCCGAGGGCGGGCTCCAAGACGCCCTGGACATGCTATCACCGAGCGCCCTCGGGGGATCTCGGCAGATCACCCGCACCTCAAGGAGAACCGAAGCGTACCACCAGGGGCCCCGTGAACCCCGCAGAGCCGTGACTCGCCCGAGGCTCTTTTCGGCGGCGAGCGAGGAGGGGAAATGAGAAATGGAAGGACTTCTTCAAAGGCGGCGTCGCGGTCATCATCATCGTCATGAAAATGACGATGACGACGACCGCGACGATGAGGAGGAGGAGACGTAGCAACGTCCCTTTGAAATGCGACTCCACTCCTGGGCCACCTAGTCGCACCACGTTCAGTAAATCGCTTGTCCGCAACAGACCTAGTTCAGTGAGTGATGCCGGGACCATTCCAGTAAGGGCGAGAATCTCCTGGAGGGGGAAAGGCACAGCGCTGAGGCACAGCATTCGCAGAACATCGGAGCTGATGCTGCAGATGCCTGTCGTGGAGCGCCTTGGCGACCTCTTGTTGCCTGATGGCTTGTCTTCAGGGCCACTTTTTGGTTCCCTATTGGATCCCTCCCAGGCTGCCTGGGGGCTCTCTCGGAGCCCTCTTGGGGGCTTTTCGACGCCATATTGGGTCGTCTCCTTGTGGGGCAGTCTCAGCGCGCTCTTGGCGCCGTTGTGGGCCATCTTGAGGCTAACGCATCCTAACCGCCCCGTTCGCGAGCGCACTTCGACGTACCAAGAATCCGACGCTCCCTTGCTAGACACCTCTCCAGATCAGCAGCGCCCGAAATCTGCCTACTCAAAGAAGTCCATGTGCCGGAGCCCTTCCAAAAGAAAAACTTGTGATAAACAAAGTCCGGCGCTTCCGAGGAGGCGTCTTTGCCCAAGATGGCCTTGGGGAGATGGCAGAAAGCGCTTCCAGGAGAAAAACGTTTGATTATCAATGGTCACTGCTTCCGACGAGGCCTTCTGGCCCAAGATGGCCTCGGGAAAACTTCAGAGGAGCCCCGAGAAGCCCCCACGACATGCCACAGTGGGGACACGAGGGCCCCCCAGGCCGCCCGAGAATCCCTCGAGACTCAAGACGGCCCAAGATCGCTCCAAGAGTGCTCCGAAGACGCTCCCGAGACCCGCCCTGACGGGCCATCCTGCAGGCATTTCAGTTCTGCAGGAGTTGCCCCAGACAGCTGGACAATACTTGAATGGCCGTAACTATTGATGCAAATTGCTTTACAATCTTCCGGATTCGGACCCGCACGGGTTGGACTCGTACCGCTTGGTCCGAATTCGCACCCGCTGGCCTGGGCTCACCGCATGCAGGCCAATCCCTCGCTGAGGAAGAGCGGGGCTGCTCTGGAATAGGTGACACCCTGAACCACATACGGCGGGTTCGCGTCGCGATTAAATAGGCGTTGGCTCCTGACACCGCGTGGATCGTTCAACCTTGAACGGGCACAGCATTCCGAGAGATCTTTCGATGTCGGCCACTGGTTTGAACGCGGGGGTCGGTAACGCGTCAACGCGGCGAGAACCTACTTTATGAGCTCTCCTTTCCTTTCACAACGCGACTATCAAAACTCACCGCAGCGCGGTGGGCGCGACGGCGAGAGACCAGACATCGCCGAGGCGACCCTGGGGTCTCCGCGCGAGCGATGCCTCCCACAAGGCGAGCTCGCACGGTGAAGCGCGGCCTGACAGGCTAAGCGGAGCCTGGCCTGCACTCATATCTTCCGAGGCCTCAACGGACAGCGTTGTCTGACACGACTGACCACGGCGGGTTCACGTCGCGATGGCGTGGGCTTTGGTTTCTGGCACCACGTCGATCGCTCAACCTTGAAGGGTCGCAGCGTGCCGACAGCGCAGATCGTTCGATGTCGGCCTTTCTCGGACCAAAGGCGGCCTTCACCCCAGGCTGCCAGCGCTGGGGTCACCGCTGCGCCAACTTGGCGCGAGCCTGCCTCACAGGGTGAGTGAGGGTGGGCGACTCCGAAGGGTGTGGTTCGCAAAGGGTGTGGTTGGCAACCCGCACCCTGAGGGGCGGGCGAGGACCCCGACCGAGTCCTCCGCATCGCGCCCGAGGGGGCCCGACGAGGGCAACACGGCGCCCCCAAGCCCCAATGACCCAGATCGCAAACAACACCCTGGCGTAACCACACCCTTTGCAGTCGCCGAGAGGCATTTCAGGTGCCGCAGGGCACGGGGCAACAGCGCCCCCTCCTCCGATGCGCGGCCCTGTCTCGCGCACAGGGACCTGGGGCCCATCTGTGAACCCCAGCCCTCACCAGAGGCTTCCTGGACAGGGTCCGAATACAGTCGGGGTTGAGTGAATGGGACATGCGAGAGGACACCAGACTTTTCCGAGGGCCACATTGCCTTATGAATGTAGAAGCATGGGTCGCGAGGCACAGGACACAAGGGTACCCTTGATTTGGCAGGGTCGACCTACTAATCAGCCTCGACTGTAGACGGGATCGGAGAATCGCGCCGCATCGCCGATGTATCGGCGACGCCGTCGGCGTGAAAAGGTTCGGGTTCCGCACCGAACCGCATCGCCGATCATCGGCGATGCGGCGCGATCCTCCGACCCCGCCTGCTCCCATCCCATCCGTGAGCCCCAGCCCTCACACCACAGGGGGTGCTCGGTGGCCTGCCCAGGGCGTGGCGAAAGAGCTCTGCCGCCCTCCTGCTTCGGTGCCCTCCTGCCCAGAAGCCCCTCCGGAGGCGGCGGGTCGCGCCGCCTGGAGAGCTCGCATCCTGACGCTGGCCGCCGCTGGCTGCCCCACTCCAGGGTCAAAAGCTAAATCCGCCGAGGTGTCCCCTGACACGCTGAGGCGTGGTAGGATGCTGGGTTCCGTCAGGCAGGGCTCCCGTGTCTTAAACAGTCGGACCTGGGCCAGAAGAACAACCCTCAAGAACATAGAACCCTCCGTCGGCAAGAAAAAAACGGAAAATCCAAGGGTACCCTCTCCAGGATGCACTAGAACACCCACCAAACACGAAGAACACTAGGGCACCCTCCCCGAACCGACCTCGATCTCATACCTCGGTCCGACTGCAATGCCCCCCCCTCCTCGCCTCACGTCCACCTGCGCGCATCCCCGCCCTCCCCAGGATTCCTCGGAGCCCCACGGCGCTCTGCGAGGTTCTGCGAAGCTTCCGAAACGGCCAAGAACGTCCACCAAGGCCGCCGAAAAAGCCCTACACTGCATTCACAGGCACCCATGTCTCCCAAGAAGCGCTCCACTGACTGATCACAGGAGGCCTCCAAGAGCCCCCCATTGTGAGACACTCACTGGGAGTCCCCAAAAGGCAAAAAGCATTGACTCCCCTTTGGATGTTCCATCGGACCGCTTAAGGTCTTCGAAAACTTAAAACGGCCCACGAACAGCTCCAAGAAAAACTCTGGACGGCCCAGGACAGCCTCAAGAGAGCCCGAGCTGGCCCGAAGGGGCCTTCCAGAGGGCCAGAGACGTTGTAAGCCGACCCATGGGCGACCCAAAAAGGCTCCGAGAAAGCCTACCGACGGCCCCAAGAGACCCATCAAACGGTTCACGCTAAATCGACGCTAAATCGAGGCGAATCGACGCTATCCCATCGACTATCAAGCACGAATCGACGCTAGTGCACTCTGATCGACGCCAGCGACGGTGAGGCCGACGACGTGGATCGGCGATGAGGCTGACGGCACCGACGACGACAAACAAGGCCGAAGACATCGGCGACGACGACGAGGTCGAAGACGTGGGTCGAAGACGAAGCCTTCAACGTCAACGGAGACGACGACGGTCGTCGAGCAGGAGCGCGGCCTGAAGCCGGCCCGTCTCCTTGTCCATGATGGACTGCTCCCTGCCGCTCGTGGCGACGAGGCCCTTGTCGCGCTCGGCCGACGGCGACGGGTGCGGAGAGCACTCCGACGCCGACGAAGACGGCGAACGCCGACGACAACGACGACGACTTTGACGACGCCGATTAGACGAAGACGACAGTTCTGGCGACGAAGAACATGGCCGATGAACCCACTGACGACTACTTTTGATCCTGCACCACATCATGCTCCCTCCTTCTCTCCCTCCCTTGTCCTAATCCCTCCAGGTGCCGGATTAAAACGCTCTCTCGAGCGGTGTCTCGAAGCCTGTGGGCGCAGTGCGCACTCTCGCACTTAAGGGGATGGATGGCTACGCGCCGCCTGGTGCTCCTCCTGCGCGTCCTCCTGCTTTCTTCGCATTGGGGAAACGTGTCCTTCGAGCAACGGGTCCTGAACCCTGGGGCCTTCCCCAGGACCAATTCTTCATCCCAAGTCGTTTTCTGACAGTCCCAAGGCCCGTGGAGGGCTCCTGGAACCCGAAAGCGACGAAAAACCTGAGGGCCCGTTCCCCTCAGGACCCGTTTCCCCCACGGCGATTTTCCCGCTCCGCGACCTCCAGCGCGTCCGACTCCTCCACCTCCGCCTCCCGCTCCTCCTCTTCTGCTCCTTTTGCTCTTCTTCCTCCTCCTCCTCTCCTCCTCCTCCTCCTCGTCATGCTCCGCCTTTGCCCTCCCGCCTAGCGCCAAATAGTGTTCCGCTGCTTCGAGCTAGTTGAATATGGCTTGGCTTGAAGTGGCAGAAAATAGGTGAACCCGCCGCAAATATGATCGTGATGGTAATTCCTGGGGAAATGAAACCTCCGAACCAGATTGAACCTTTTCTTCGACTGCACTTAAGACCACACGCGACGACCTGAGCCTCCCGATTGCCCCCCTCCACGTCATTTCATCCACTATGTATTAGAGGGAGAATTGAAGCGCGACCGAACTAAAGATTGACCTCGCCAACCGCGTGGCCAACCTTTTTGTTGTCAGTTTGGGCAGAACTGATTGGCGGCGCTCAAAAGGGGGTGGAGGGAGGGGGGAAGGCTTCTTAGAAGCACCCTGCTTCTCAGAAGGTCTCGGCCTTACGTCTATAGAGAAGGCCCGCGCCTTCTAAGAATCAGGGGTGCTTCTAAGAAGCCTTCCCCCCTCCCCCTACCCCCCTCTGCGTATAGCTGAACTGAGCAAGCACTCAATTCAGTTCTGGCAGAACTGAGCCAACACTCTCGGACTGAACTTCCTGGAAGTAGCGCTGGCAGCGGAATGATCACCGAACGCGACCCGGCACGTTTGGAACGAACTTCTGGGCCAAATCGCTGGCAACGCGAAAAACTTCAGCATGTAAGCTGGCACGCCCCGACAAATGAACTTCATACGGACAACGGTGATCATCTGATGCGCGGTTCTTGCGAACCGGCACGATTGGCACGCGTGTCCTGGCAACAACGCTGGCAGCGTGATGTGCAACGGGAACAAATTGGCACTTTCACGAAACTCGCGGGGAAGGCACTGGAATGACACGGAAGGGGAGGGGCGCGGGCACTGCAGTGGGAAGCTCAACCAAAACAAATCTCGCACAGCATTGCGGGTGCTGGAAGCCAGCCCGCGCGCTCGGACTGAGTTTCCGGGCGCCCCGGCAGCACCGCTGGCAGGAGGATGACCGCCAAGCGCAATCCGGCACACTTCGAATGAGATCTTCAACGAAATTCTTACAAGCAATGCTGGCGCAGCGTGGCGCGCCGTGCGCAAGCCGGCACGTTCGAACGTTCCCACATCCTCCGCACCTCCTTTTACTTCCTAGTGGATCTCCTCATTTGGCTTTCCCCTCCTCGTCCTACAATTCCTGCCTCCTCCTCCTCCTCCTCGTGCTCCTCCTCCTCCTCTTCCTCGCCCTCGTCTTCGTCCTCGTCCTCGTCCACCTCCTCCTATTCCTCCACCTCCTCCTTCTCCTCCTCTTCCTCCTCCTGTTTACTTTCGTCTTGGGTGTTCGCCAGGGCCCATCTAGGCCCAAGATGTCTCGAACGTTCACCTGCTACCTCCGATGATGAGCCACAGCAGGAGTCTCTGCTACCAGGCCGCGCGGCTGCGTTGTCATTTAAGGCCCCATGGAGTAGTAGATCGGAAGCCAGCCAACTAAATTAGCAGGGTGGCCGCCGAACCGAACCGAACCAAGCCGAACCGAACCGGCGCGAACTGGTGTGATTTTCAACGCGAACCGAACCGAACTGGCCGTTTTTGACATTCGAACCAAACCGGGCCGAACCCCCTCCCGAACCGGAGCGAACCGAAGCGCGGAAGCTACCGGAGCGAATCAGAAACTGAGAGCAAAAAACCGACCGAAACCGGAGACTGCACCACCTCGGCGACGAACGCCGTGGGAACGACGATCCCCCTGGGCCCTCCCCCCCGGGCCTTCCCCCGCGGGCCCGTCCCCCAGGGCCCCCACTCGGGGCACTCGCAACCACGGGGGATCCGCCCGAGGACGACGACGACGGCAACTGACAGCGGCGAGGCACATACGGCGCCAGGAAGCCGCCAGGGCGCGCCCCGCTCCCAGGGAACTCATCGTCGTCGTCGCCGCCACCGCTGCCGTCGTCGTCGCCTTTTCCTACTTGCTCATTCGGATCGGACCCCGAATCGGCATCCGCCCGCCAGGTCGGAATTGAAACTGGGAAAAGCCAAAAACATCGGGCCGGACGCATCGAAATCAGATCGGATCGGACCGGAACCAGGCCTGCCCCGAACCGGGCCGCCGCGACGCACCGTGCTGTCGCCGAGCTCGCCACATCCGAACCGGACCGAACCGGAAACACACGCACAACGAACCGGGCCGAACCAGGCGGCAAAGTTCACTGCGACGAACCGAACCGAACCGAACCAGAAGGGGTCCGACACCGAACCGAACCGAACTGGAAACACTTCGAAACCCAACCGAACCGAACCGAAGCGAACCAGGCATCTCTGCATTAGTAGGAACCGACGAACGGGCCACCTTGGGGAACGATGAGCGAGATGCCACGTGAACTGTTCCGGAGGACAAGGGGGCAGAAGGGACTCAAATTGCGAAGGGAAGGGGCTGGATCGCAGCATCAAACGTCAACTGACACGATGCCAGCAGTGTCTGCCAGAAACTCTGGCACAAAATCGATGTCCCCAGCCGTTGTCGCCGTCCTCTGCGCCCCTTACTGTTGCGTTCCCTGCACGCGCCATGAAAAAATCAAGGCTGGCGGAACGACCAGGGAGGGGGGGGATGATAACACTTCTCGGACGGAGGAGCGGGGAGGCCAGGGGCAGGAGGGGGGAACAACCAGGAGTCTCATCGTTGACCAAAAAATGATTGTACCAATCGCACCCCCCCCGCCCCCAAGACACCGCAAACGGCTCAAAAACGCTTTCACACAACAACCCTCACCAAAACACAAAATACCCCATGGGGGGCCCAAAATGGCCCACGATGCCGCCAGGCCGGCCCCCAGACCCCAAACGGCCACCAAAAAAAACCAAAACGAATCAGAAACCGAATGCAGCTTTGTCCGACGGAGCCCTCCGCGAAGCGGCCTGTATGTCCTGATTGCCCAAGTGCCCGAAGGCGGGCTCCATGAAACAAATGAACTCAAGGAACACCCGAACGAACCTCGATGTTCCAGCCTCGAATGCGCATTGACGGCATGTGTGTGTCCCCCTGTGGGGCACGATGCGCGTCCAGATTCAACAAAAATGCGCGCGGGCACGCCGTGCGAACGCCCTCGTTGGGGCCACCTGCGGAGCCTGCTACGCGGACGCACCCGATTGAATCACCGAGGGTTAAGCACCCTATAAGGCACGATCCGCGTGCGGGGTGCCAAAACGTTCGAGGGGCGCGCGGGCATCAAATAAACGTGGCGGGGCTATGCGAACACCTCCGCGGGAATGGTAGCTCGCCGAGGTTCCCTGTGGGGCACGAGAACTGTGCGGAAAACGCCCAATGGGGCCGTGTATGGAACTCCACACGAAGCGCGAAACGTGCGACTGGGCGTGCCAGAATGGGCGCGGCGGCGCCGCGCGAACGAATTCAGCACGGCCGCGGGTGGAGTTCCCTGCGAGGCGCGATTCGCGCGGGCGGCGCGCCGAACTGCGCGAGGAGGCGCCGTGCCAACGCCCCCCCCCCCCCAGTTGAGCCGCAGGTGGGGCTCCCCGCGGGGCAAAGACCGTCCGAGAGGCTAAGTTCTCCTCCTCCTCCTCCTCCTGATCGATACTTTCCTCCTGTTCGACATGTCACCCCCAACGTTCCGCACTCGTCGACACTCGTCCTCCATAGTTCCGCCTCCTTCTCCTCCTCCTCCTCCTCTCCTCCTCCTCCTCCTCCTCCTCCTCCTCCTCCTCCTCCTCCCTCCTCCTCCCCCCTCTCCTCCTCCCCTCCTCCTCCTCCTCCTCTCCTCCTCCTCCTCCTCGTCCTCGTCCTCGTCCTCGTCCTCGTCCTCGTCCTCCTCCTCCTCCTCCTCCTCCTCCTCCTCCTCCTCCTCGTCCTCGTCCTCATATTCATCCTTCTCCTCCTCATCCCTGCTCGATCATTATCCCCCTCCTCCTCCTCCCCATCATCATCCTATTCCTCCTCGCCCTCTCCGACAACGTTTCCTCCTCCTGCCGGATACTACCCTGGCCGTTCCTCTGCGACGCGCCCTTTCCGATGTTCCATCGGCCCTCCGCCCGAAGTCTGCGAGCGGCAACGGGCCACGAGGGGCCACGGGGCCACGGGGCCACGGGCCACGGGCCACGGGCAACCGAATCAAACGCGTCGGCGACCGCCGCCACGCACGGCGCCGAAGCTGGGCACCTCGGCGGCGCTCGCCGCCCCCCCCCCGCGCCCCGCCCCCCGCGTCCAGACACACTCCTCCAACCGTTCCCCGCCCAGCCCCCCCCCCTTCTCTCGCCCACGCCTGCGTTAACAAACCGCGAACGACTGGGTGTTTGTGGCCAGTTTGGGTCTTACGAAAGCCTTCCAGCGGTGGCCCCAGGGCCGTCAGATAACTACTCGGAATCAAAACTGGCCTCGGGGACAGGGTCGAAACCTCGGAGGGTCTCCGCCTCCTCCTCATCCTCCTCCTGTCCCTCCACCTCGCCGGGTCCCTTGTCTTTGCTACGCATCATGTTCCTCCTGCCTGCCCTCAACCTCCCTAGACCCGCCTCCTGCCTTTTCTCCTCGCTACGTCTCATCATTCCTCCCACTGTTCCCTCCTCCGGCTCCATCCCCCTCTTGGACGTCCCACGCGGTCCTTGGAAGCCCCGGAATGCCTTCGAAGGCACGAGCAATCTCACAACAAGTGCTAAGCAAACTCGATCCTCCTCCCCCTTCATTCACCCTCCCACGTGATCGGCCGCCCTCCCCCACACTTACAACCCAGTTTCCCTCGTTTCCCTCTCTGCCTTTCTCGTGCTTGCACGCCCGAAATGGAAGCGAACAAAGGGGACGATGCTGGACAGCGGATGTTGTCCAAAATCGACAGCGGCAGTCCGAAATGAAAAGCACCTGCGGCGAAGTCGGCGGCGAATCTGGTTCAAAAACGGGCCAGAACTGGTGTCGGTTTTCTTTCAGAGTCTGTCCCTCACCATTTTCGGACAGGAGCCAAACCCCCTCCAAGCAGATTTGAGACCATATTTGCGGCGCATGAGACCAGATTTGCGGCGCATATTCGAGGGCATGTAGAACCATCACTGCGGTGTTCGGAAGCACCTCGTACCAAGCTAGCACCTCGCACCAAGCTTGCAAGCCTGGGGTGCGTCTGGGACGGGTTGTGTGCGATGAGGGTGTTTTCAGTCACCCAGTTTGCGATGTGTACTGTCGGGGCCAGGCTTTTCGGCCCTGACACTGCGGGCTCCCCGACCCCTGCCCTCCTGAAAGGAATTGACACATTCGTCGTCTCCTCTCACATCTGCGTGTAGCACCACTTGTCCTCCTCCTTTTCCTCCTCCTCCTCTTTGTCAACATCACCACCACAAACGTGATCACTATCATCATCATCATCATCATCATCATCATCATCATCATCAGCATCATCATCATCATCATCATCATCATCAGCAGCATCATCTTCATCATCATCAGCAGCATCATCATCATCATGACCCTCCTCCTCCTCCTCATCATAATCGTGATCATCGTCATCGTGATACTCCCCCTCATCCTCATCCTCAAACGCATCATAATCAGCCTCATCGTCGGCATCAGCATCATACTCATTATCAGCATCGTCATCATTAGTTACGTCATAAGCAAAAACATCAACATTATCATCAGCAGCATCAGCGTCAGCATCAACATCATCACCCTCCTCCTCATCCTCCGCCCCATCCTCATCATCAGCAACATCATCATCGTCAGCATCAGCATCAGCATCCGTAGCAACAGCATCAGCAGCTTCATCATCGTTAGCAGCAGAATCATCATCATCATCATCAGCATCATCATCATCATCTGCATCATCAGCATCATCAGCATCATCATCAGCCTCATCATCATCATCAGCATCGTCAGCATCGTCATCTTCACTGTCATCAGCATCAAAAGCGTCATCAGCATCATCTCCATCATCAGCATCAGCATCAGCATCAGCATCAGCATCGTCATCAGCATCATCAACATCGTTGACGTCGTCGTCATCGTCATGGTCATCACCATCATCGTCATCGACAACATCATCACCAGCATTATCATCACCATCATCATCATCAGCATCAGCATCACCGTCAACATGAACATCAGCACCACCACCATCATCAGCAGCATCATCATGAGCAGAGTCATCATCTTCATCAGCATCTTCATCATTGTCAACGCCATCAACCTCAGCATCACCATCATTACCATTAGCATCAGCAGTACCAGCAGCATCATCATCAACAACAGCATGACCAGCAGCATCATCAGCATCAGCATCAGCAGCAGCAGCATCATCATCATCATCCTCATCATCCTCACCACCATCGTCATCCTCATCTTCATCCTCAACATCAGCGTCCTTTTCCTCTTCCTCCTCCTCCTCCTCATCCCTCCTCATCCTCCTCCTCCTCCTGCTCGTCCCCATCATCATCCTCATCACCATCGTCCTCCTCCTCCTCATCATCATCAGCATCATCCTCATCTTCCTCCTCCTCCTCCCTCCTCCGCCTCCTCCTCCCTCATCCTCCTCCCTCCTTCCTCCCTCCCATCCGTTCTTTCCTCCCTTCCTCCCCCATCGCCCTCCCCCACTTGCTGGCGCCCAGGGCCATGATCCCCAGACTTCCACGCGGGAGAGGCCCCCCGCGGGAGAGGCCCCCCGCCAGGAGGCCCCAAGAAGACTTGGAAGCGTTCCATACCCTCCATCCCTCGGACCTCGATCCTCAAAGACCATTAGATCCTCCTGCTCATCCTCATCCTGCTCCCCGTCCTCATCCTCATCCTGCTCCTGCTGCTCCTACTTCTGCTCCTCATCGTGCTCCCACTCCTCATGCTGCTCCTCGACCTGCTCCTCATCCTCATTTGGCGTTAGATGTTTTGCGAGCGGGGCGTTTTCGCATGATTTCGGGCGGCCCTAACAGATCGATCCAACTAGAAAAAGTCGGCAGGAAGATAAGGTTGCCAGGCTATGGTCGTGATTACTCACGACGTCCCATGTTCTCGCGCCGATGCATCGACTCTGCGGTGCGTTCCCCCGACTCCATCGACTCGGACCCCATCTACTAGGATGCCTAGAGATCCTCGCTAGCCCCCATCCACGGATCCTCGATCCGATCCCTCCGTCCCTCGATCCTCGGCCCTCGGTCCCGCAGACCCTGCCCAGGACGGCCAGAGCGCGCGCGGGCCTCGACGTCGGCCGAGTTGAACTGGTCGTCGGAGTTCTCGGGGGGGCGGGGGGGCGGGGCGGGGCGGCGCGGCGAGCGCGGGCGAGGGCCAGGAATGGAGGGAGAGCAGGCAGCAACAACCGGAGGAGGAGGACAGCAAGTCCGCCCGTCCCCTTGCGGGGCCCTCGGACTCCACGAATTAGGCTTGCTGCTCCCTACTCCAGTTCTAGCTTCCAGTCTCCGACGTTAACCATTCTCTCCGCGCGAGGGGGGAGCCGATATGGCCACGGTTACTGGGAGGTCCTGGAACATAACAAAAAATAACCCTGGTTACCGGGGGGTCCTGGGACACGTACAAATACAGAAGACTCGCGCTCCCAAAACCATGATCATTGGCAGATTACTCCGCGTTCGTGCCCGCGAGACCATAATCCATGTCAAAATTGTGCAGTGCTCGCCTCCCCGAGGCCATACACACTCGCAAATTACGCTGTGTTCGCGCTCACGGGACCAGATTTCGTTGTAGATGACGCGGTATTCGAGTCTCCGACGCAATACTTTATTTCTCTTTGTTTTCCCTCTCTCTCTCTTTCTCTCTTTTTGTTTTCTCTCTCTTTCTGTCTCTGTGTCTCTCTCTCTCTCTCTCTCTGTCTCTGTGTCTCTCTCTCTCTCTCTCTCTACAATTGTACAAGATCTGCGTCCCCGAAGCCACGATCCCTCGTAAATTTCGCGTACTTCGCTTCCCCGAGATCATAATCCTGGTAAAATATGCAGTGTTCGCGCTTTCAGGGCCAAAGGCCTCCGAGACGGCCTAAGAGTGCTCCAAGGCGCCCAAGATGGTGCGAAGACGATCCCAGAGGCTCCCAAGAAGCCCCCAAGAGCGCTCCAAGAGCACCCCCAAGAGGGGTCGAAGAGGCCACCATCTACGATTCCCCTTAGGTGTTTGATGGATTGTGGCACGCTCACATCTCCAGTGGCCCCCGTTCACAGTTCCGACGCGGCTTCGCGACAGCGCCCAGGCCTCACAACATGACTCTTGCATACCCCATTCTCTGAGAACAGGGGGCTGGCGGCAAGGGGCGAAGCCCTTACGAAGAAACAGGGGCTCAGGTAAATCCCCCCCGCCCTCTCCCCTCCCTCGCGTGCTCAAGTAAGCCTTCTCCTGCTTTACTTAAGCCCAGCTGGACAAGTACTTTGAGAGAAGGCCCCGAGTAGAGGGCGGGCGGGGAGGAGCTTGCAACAGCAATATTAGGAGGAGCAGCAAGACGTGCCGCTGCGCCGCTGCCTCCGCTACCTCGGGTTCGGCCTGCTGTCTGGTGCCAGCTGTGGAATCGGGCTCGCACGCCTGGCCTTTGGTGGACACCAGGTCAAATATGAAACGGCTGCGGTGCCCGGGCCGCGGACGCAGCTGGAGGCGGGGGATGGGGGGGGGAAGGCGAACGCTGTCTTGTTCGGCGTTTCGACATTGGTCGGAAGGGGGAGGGGAGTGGCGGGTCTGGCTCAGGACCGCTGCTCAGTGCGACTGTGTGCACCAGTGCATCCTAGAGACTCCACCTGCTTGAGGCAGGCGCCAAATGCAGCCAAGATCTACTCCATGGGGGGCTGGGGGGTGCGAGGGCCCGTGCCGATCGGCAAAACAATGAATGAGAAAACGATCGCTAGGGAGGACGAGGGAGACTTGCCGGACATCGCGTGCACGCAGCCCGCTCTCTTCTCAGCTGCCATGTGGGTGGGATGCTCCAGTGCGCGCTCGCGCCGCCTGGATCCCAGCCCCCGAGGCGACTCCCTCGCCTGCGCCGACGGGGGAACAGCTCCTCCTTCTGGGCGGCGCGCCGAGGGGGGTCGGGGGAGAGGGGACGGCTCCCCAGAAGGAGGCTGCCTCTTAGAAGGCGCCGGCCTTGCATCTACAGACACGGCCCGGGCCTTCGAAGAAGCAGGAGTGCTTCTCGGAAGACTTCCCCAACTCTGCGCGTGGCTGACCTGCGCCTCCTACCCCGCGCGGCGTCCCCAAAATGGGCGAGGGGCGTCATGCGTCGCATCGGCGGGGGTCTCGCTCCGCGATTCGTGAGGGGTCTCCCTCCGCGACAGGGCGCGCGCGCGGGCGGGGAGGGACAGGGAGGGGAGGGGAGCACTGGGACAGAGAGGCTGCTACAGCCTGCGGAGCCGAGCAATACGCGGGTCAGACGTCCAGCATGAGGCAGGGCCACCCTGATGGCCACCAGGCGTGCGATGCTCCCCCCACACAAGGGGGTCTGAATTAGAGCTTCGCGGTGGGCATCCAAAGTCGAAGCCTACATCATGCATGCAAGCCAAATCCACGGTTGAATCAATCGAATATGCTCACCCAGTGCCTCAATAAGACGCAAAAGATGTGACATATTCCTTCGGCGCTGCTGTTGAAAATTGTGCAGCCCCACCAAGGGTTTGCCCCCTCTGGCAAAACTCACTTGGTTTCTGGCCCGAGTCAGGTGCTTCATGTGCACGCAGGCTTCCAATCACGTCTTAATATAACGAGGATAGGACTGCCCAGTACATTGCCAAATGGCAGTCAGTGGCAGACACAGAAGCAACACTTGTAATGCAGCAGCGATGAGAGCGGCGGTGAAGCCACAACACCAACTGATGGCCAAGGTCTCCATATGATCTGAACCCGAGGCCGAACATCAATACGCAGAACGCCTGTGGCTCGGTAGGCAACGAAGCCTAGGCCGCTGACCCATACAAGTCGTATGCATGGTCAATCTTAGCGATGCCCGTGACCTTGCCGCAACTTGTGGCGGCGATCCTGTCTCGCCATCAGAACAAACATGGTGAAGCCCAGTTTGTGGCAGCAGCAGGATGAGCGGATGCCTTTTTGCCTTGAGCCAAACCCGGCAACATATCGTGAATGTCTGTCATTCTGCCTTCTGCTCTCTAGAGAAAGATGTACATGCTAAACCTAACCCCTGAAAAGTGGAACTCCATCACATGGGTCAGACTTTCTAGTAGGTTTAGCAACCCCTAACAGTACTGTACACATAAGTCAGTCGTCCTGCTGCACAGGATCGAGGAAAGGAGAGAGAGGAGAAGAGAGGTTGCCGAGCTCCGGACCCGGGACGACACCGCGAATAGCCGACCATGACACCATATCAGAGTCCTGAGCAAGAGTTATCCGAGAGGCGGCCTGGGACCTATCTTTGTGCCCAGGATCTTGCTTTCGACGGTCTAGCTCTGCGGACTCGTCAACTAGAACAAGCTTACCATGGGTGAGCAGACTGGCCAATGCTGCGTTCCCCTTCGTGATATCATCCTTAGTCATGGCGTCCACCGGCATCCTGCCGTGTGGTATCCAGCGGATATGTCCGCGGGCATTCTCTAACGTCTCGCACACCACTGCCAGGTCCAGCGCCGTGCGCCGGTCACGCGCACTTGCATGCCCGTCCTTGAGCATGGTGTCGTAAATACTTTTAGCATCTACGACATGGACCTGCTCCACGCGACTGCCGAGCCGGCAGTTGCTTCTCAGCACGGTAGTAAACGGTCTTGCGCCCCTGCAGAGATCTGAAACGTTGACATCTCGAAAAACGATGTCCCTATATAAAACTTGCAGAAACTCAACTTCAGCCACGGCCTGGGAGAGTGCTTGCGTCTCACCGGCTAGCGTGGAGGTCACCTTCCGACGGAGCTTCGAGCTCCTCCACCCCAGGATCGAAGCCCGAACGACACGATTATCTTTCACGCTCCTGTCCGTCGCAAGCACCATCCACGCGCCCTGAGTGGGGTCTTGGGGAAGGCCCCTGTCGTCTAGCTGCCCCTCGCTGGCCCCAACCCCTCCGGCATCAGAAAACGACACAAACGCCATGCGCTCCGGGTCGAGTCGCCAGATGCTCAGGCCCCTAGAGGCCGTGGCCCTGAGGTGGCGCACCATTTTGTTGGCACACGCAATGTCTCCCACGGTAGGCTCCTTGAGCCTGCTGGCCAGAATGCTAGCCGTACCTGCGGCCTCGGGTCGTGACTCCCGTCCGACCCAGTTCAACTTATATATAAGCGACCGAAGGGGCTTGAATTCCTCTTTGTCGAGAGGCGCTTTCTTTTGACCCAATCTTCCCCTGGCCAGCACGATCGGGCGGAGCTCCTCGAGAATGTACTTTTCCTGATCGATAGTGGTGCGCTGGGGACCCACCCGAACGGATCTGCCTGCGTATTCGACGGGACCGGCATGACAGTCACGGTATTTCCCGAACCGGAATCGACTCTCGAGAGTCTCCCTCAGCCACTTCCGTGACTCTGGTGATTCGCTGGCAATCAGAAAATCGTCCACCTCCAGAAGGATCATGTTGAGGATTCTGCCTCTCGAGTCGTACCGGGTCCACCAGCACGGCTCCAGCAGACTCCTGCAGAAACCCTTATCCTTTAGGAAGCTGACGGCGGTCTTGCGCCACGCGAGTGGCGCATCGTCGAGGCCATACACATTGACCTTAAGAAGAATCAGCGATCCGCGTTCAACCTTGATACCCTCACATGGCTCGACATATATGTCTCCTTGAGAACGACGCATCGGATCGGATTGGCAAAACGCGTTCTTGACGTCGGCTATATCTCCTAAAAGGGACAGGTTCATCATGACCTGAAGAAACATATGGATGGACGTAGTCTGAGGAGTGGGGGAGTAGACAAATAGTGACCCCGTGTCCGGGTCCTTGTCCATGCACGCACCAGCGGGACTTAGCCAGAGGCTCGGAGAAGGTGCCCTCCACCGGCTTCCACCGTCTCACCATGCGGCTGGTGATGATCCGCTCGGGACAGACCTCCCTGACCGCCTTCGCCCGAGCAGGTGATATCACCTCCACGGCTCCTGACTTCATCATATTTCCCCACTCAGTGTCATCTGACACCTCGAACTTGGCCCTCTCGGCCGCCGTTAACTTGCCGAGCGAGACCTCGCCGCCACGGCTAGCAGCGAAAACTCCCGCCCCCGGCTCAATCCCCGGGACCTCGGTCAGACACGCGCTCCCGTTGTCTTCGGCTTCTACCACGACAAACCCGCGCCGAGGAGACCAGTCGCGGTTGCGAGCTCG